AATGCCGACTTGGTCAAGTTCATCAAGTTGATTGAGAAGAATGGCATGTACGTGACACTGAGGCTTGGCCCCTTCATCCAGGCCGAGTGGACTCACGGGTACGATCGAATTCATTGTTTCGAATTTTGATTCTTTTCGAATACTTTTTGTTTCGAGTTTCCAGTTTCGATTTCCTTCTGTCTTTTTTGCGATCCTTCTAATGACAAACATCCGTTTTGTGGTCTGAAAAACACGTCAGAGGACTTCCCTATTGGTTACGAGAAGTGCCTGGGATCTTCTTCCGCACCGACAACAAAGAGTTCAAGGTAAACAAGATAATATAATGGTATTACCCGAATACGTATATGTATATGTATATATACAGTTGAAACATGTATACATTTGGATAATGATTGGGGTAATCTCACGCAGGAACATACGGAAAGGTACGTACGGACAATAATCGAAAAGATGAAGGACGAGAAGCTGTTCGCTTCACAAGGAGGCCCCATTATATTAGGACAGGTGAAAATAGAGGGAAACCTTCGAGTTTGAACACTGAAAGTGTTTTGCTTACGCTACAGCAACGTGATGGATGTAATGGAAATTCGATAATGCAGATAGAAAACGAGTACAGCGCGGTTCAACGCGCGTATAAAGATGACGGCTTGAAGTACATTAACTGGGCATCCGATCTTGTCCACTCCATGAATCTCGGGATCCCGTGGGTTATGTGCAAGCAGAACGATGCTCCCGACCCTATCGTGAGCTTCCATACATACAGTATTCTGGTCTGATGGTTTGTAGAGAATATTCGAAAAGATTGCGATGATATTTTGCGAATGCAGATTAACGCTTGCAACGGTAGGCATTGTGGCGATACATTCCCTGGCCCGAACAGACCTAACAAGCCTTCCTTATGGACCGAGAACTGGACTACTCAGTGAGTGCATATACACTCTATTGCTAAACCCGCGTGAACTTTATGTATGAAACTGAAACGGAATTCATGAGAGTGTCGAGTTTCGTGATTTCTGCAGGTTCCGTGTTTTTGGAGATCCTCCGACGCAAAGATCAGTGGAAGACATTGCGTTTTCCGTCGCTCGGTTCTTCTCCAAGAACGGAACTCACGTTAACTATTACATGGTAAGAACAACCGTTACATGGACTCTATGATCTCAAACTATATATCTCTGAGAATCTCATTCAAGATCACATATGATTGATCTTTCGCTCCTTTCTTTTTGCAGTACCATGGAGGAACAAACTTCGGAAGAACCTCTGCACATTATGTGACCACTCGTTACTACGATGACGCGCCTCTTGATGAATTCGGTAAAGAAATTTAACGAAAAACGTGGTTTTGTCACCTCAAAGTATGCATCGTCGTGTTTATATTCTGCTCATCGGGTTACAGGTTTGGAGAAGGAACCGAAATACGGACATCTCAAGCACCTACACAACGCCCTCAACCTCTGCAAGAAACCACTTCTCTGGGGGCAACCTCGGAGCGAGAAGCCGGGGCCAGACACAGAGGTATTGCATAGACATCGACGGTCCAAAAAGTTCGGATCTTTCATTAGTTTTCGTTAGCGATTTTAGAGTTATTGAATCGGGTTATTATTACAGATTAGGTACTATGAGCAGCCTGGAACAAAATCTTGCGCTGCATTCTTGGCTAATAACAACACAGAAGTTTCAGTAGCTGTAAATTTCAAAGGCAGGAATTACATCATACCGCCTCGATCCATCAGTATCCTTCCGGACTGCAAGACCATCGTTTATAACACCGCGCAGGTGAATGAAAACCGATGCCCTAAATCTCGATCTTCCTTTCGAAGGAAAACAAGATAGATCCCTGAATCTTTTGGTACTTTCTTGTTTTTGTTCCCCACAAATTCAACCAGATTGTGTCTCAGCACACTTCAAGGAACTTCGTCAGATCCAAAAAGACAAACAAGAAGTTCGAGTTTAGCGTGTTTAGCGAGTCTGTCCCCAAAGGCCTTGACGGTGATTCCTACATTCCGGTTGAACTCTACGGCTTGAATAAAGACAAGACGGACTATGCATGGTACACCACAAGGTAAGTTTCCATTTGCAACGGTTAAAAAGCTCAGAATCTAAGAACCCTAGCTCGTGAGCTATACATAAATAACATGGATGTAAGAAACACCTTTTCGGGGTTTGACAGCTTCAAGGTCGAAAAGAAAGATCTTACGGAAAAGAAACCTACTTTGAGGATCGCCAGTCTCGGCCACGCATTGCATGTTTGGATGAACGGGAAATACATCGGTAAGGCGCATGGAAGCCACGAAGAGAAGAGCTTTGTCTTCCAGAAACCTGTTGATTTGAAACAGGGCGTGAACCACCTCGCCATGTTGGGGGTCCTAACCGGATATCCAGTAAGCGAAAACGACGCCATTAGAACTAAACTCAGTTTACATCAGAGGGAGGTTATAACATTGTGAATCTCTTGGAATGAAATCACAGGACAGTGGATCTTACATGGAGCACAGATACACCGGCCCTCGAGGTGTTTCCCTCCTGGGTTTGAACTCTGGAACAGTTGATCTCACGGAGCACAACAAATGGGGAAACAAGGTTCGGTCCAAACCCATCACTACTCGGTTATCGGATCTGTATTGGTGAGACGATTTCAGTCTGTTCCATATTCTTCGCATCGTATGTCTGCAGGTCGGCATGGAGGGCGAAAAACTCGGTATCCACACCGAGGAAGGCTTGAAGAAGGTGAAATGGCAGAAATTTTACGGAAACGCGCCAGGGCTTACATGGTACAAGGTAAAGAAAACAAGCAAAATCAAAACATAAATGACGACAAATCAATCGGTATCCACGTCTAAACCCTAGATCAAAACCATATTCTGAAAATGGAATTGGTCGAGTTGCAGACGTATTTTGACGCGCCTGAGAGCCAAAACTCGGTAGCAATTCGAATGAATGGAATGGGGAAAGGGTTGATATGGGTGAACGGCAATGGCGTTGGGAGATACTGGATGTCCTTCTTGTCCCCACTAGGCGAACCAACTCAGACCGAGTACCATATCCCGAGATCTTTCTTGAAGCCCACGCAAAACCTCCTCGTGATTTTCGAGGAAGAGCCCGGCGTCAAACCAGAGTCCATCGACTTCGTGATCGTTAACAGAGACACCGTCTGTTCTTACATCGCGGAAGACTACGCACCGAGCGTCAGACACTGGGCGAGGAAGAAGGATGAGATTCAGGCCATCACCAAAGGTGTTCATCTCACTGCTTCCCTCAAATGCTCGGGAGCAAAGAAGATCGTGGCTGTGGAGTTTGCCAGCTTTGGTAACCCTACTGGAACCTGTGGAAACTTTACCCTTGGAACCTGTAACGCTCCTGTCTCCAAACAAGTCATCGAGAAGGTAACCAAAAGAGAACTAAATTAGGTTAGTTGAGACGCAAGAAACTAAGATTTTTTCCGTGTTTTATTTTCCCTTGGGTGCAGGCTTGTTTGGGGAAGGCAGAGTGCGTGATCCCAGTGAACAAGGGCACGTTCCAACAAGACAAGAAGGATCCTTGCCCTAAGACGGTCAAGACACTCGCCGTTCAAGTCAAGTGTCGTTCCGACAAGAAGAATTAATCCACGAGAATTCTGCTTTTTGATTTTTTTCCCATTAAATTATTATTATATTGAGAAATCTCTCATGATATGTATGATAAATTTTTGAACTATATATATAATCTTCACTAGAATAACAAAAAATCTCAAAATTTATTGAATTGCTTTTTGTTGATTAATTATTTTATTTAAGATTTTAGATTATTCGTCTAAAATCAATTTTTTTTTTAGGTTGTGTTTTGAGATAACTGCAATAACAAATTCAACATTATTCATAGGATAAAAGCTACAAGTTTATTTGATTACCAAAGCTCGGAATGTATGTTATTGCCATCGAAATTTATACGGGTGGGACCGGAGAAAATGAGAAGAATAGTCAAAATGAATTTCTATATTGCTACAAATATGTAATATTTAACCATGGTTAATTCAACGGATAAAAAAAGAGAAGTTCATTTTCAATTTATGTTCGAGTCTAAATGAATGAATATTCACTTGTATTTTATCGATTTTAATGTAATTGGACCAAAAGTTTAGTAAATTTTACGGAATATAAAAAAAATATTTAATATTTAGGAAAAGATATTTGCGACTCGTCCTTTGCTACTGATGAATGTGCATTCGAATGGGTGGGCCTATCCGGAGATGATCGGCCATGGACTTAGAGGGGGTTTTATCAAAAATACCCCTAATACTACAAAGACTTCACTGCATACCCCTGCAAAAATAAATAAAAAAACTACTTCAAAACATACCTTTATAATTATGTTATTCCCAAAATACCCATTGACGTGGGTCCCAATGACAGAAACATTAATGAGAAGAGAGAGAGAAAAGCAGTTTTCGATTTTCTAGGAAAAAATTTAAATATTTTAAAATTTTTAAAACTCCCTCCATCACAAAAAAATAAATATTTTCGCGTGAATTTTAAAAATTTTCGGTGTGACCAGTGTGACTAGTGTGACCAAGTGACTAGTGTGACCAGTGTGACCAATATGACTAGTGTGACCAAAATTAAAATTTGAATGGTGTGACCAGTGTGACCAATGTGACTAGTGTGACCAGTGTGACCAATGTGACCAATGTGACTAGTGTGACCAAAACTAAATTTTGAACGGTGTGACCAAGTTGACTAGTGTGACCAGTGTGATCAAAATTAAATTTTAAACGGTGTAACCAATATGACGTACCTTTATTTTCGTTGTCAATCCGTTCCATTATCGCTCCGAACATTTATTTGAAATTAAATATGCGCCTCTTGTATATTCTTCGACAGATTTGCTATGCATCTATCTCATTTTCATAAAAAAAAAACCACACGATTCACTCTAACAATCATAAAACTCAAACCCAAAACACAAAGTTCATGCATCGAACCAATCTCTTGTATTAATGAACTTACCTTCAGTTCTTGTCATTTGTTCTGTCTAAGACCGACTCAAGAAGAAGATATGAGGTCGTCGGTGAAGATATGCTCAACGAAATAACCATTTTTCGTTTGTTTTTCTATGTATAAAAATGAAATGAGAAGAGAGAAAATGGAAGAGTTAAGAGAAAGATAAGAGTGGAGAGAGAAAGTTAAGAAAGAAATGAAGAGTTGTCAAAGAATGAAAACGAGAGAGATGAATTCAAAATGAAGAGAGGAGAATCACGTTACTTTTGTGAGAGGGTTAATTATGTCTTTTGTCCCTTTTATTTTTTTTTCCAAAATTTTAGGGTTTTAAAGGGTATATCATGAAGTCTTTGTAGCAAAGTAAGGGTATTTTTGCTATATTGTCGACTAAGAGCCCTTTGTGTAAACTTCATTTCTTCCTATACTCCCAACCCAAGAGTCTTGTTTTTCTTTTTACTGTTTCTAAATTTTGATAAAAACTTCCACAACATCTAAAATAAAAAAATTTCACAATAATACTTGAGTTTAAACAAAGATTATCAAATAAAACTTGTAAACCGATTTTATTAAAATCAGTCAAAATTATTTTAATGTAAAAAAACAGACGTGACAATACAATCGATATCTGTTTGCTTGTTGCAGTTTCCATTGGGGCCGTTTAGTGACTCTTTATTTGGCTTGGTAGCTTGTAATGTGGATCAAGGATCCTGGTCTTTGTACCACCAATTTTGAGTAATACAACTAACTTTCATAAAAAAAAATACAATCGTATCATGCTAGGGACACATCAATTAAAATTTTGATTAAAATAATTGAAGAATTTATAAAAAAATAACAAGTTTTCAATTTTTGTTAAGTTCAAGGTTTTTTTAAGTTAGATGCTTTATAAAAAAACATTTGACAAATTGAGTGACTTTTATGGGATTTACTTTAAAAAAATTAATATAAAAAAAATTTAGACTAAAAACAAATTTAACGCGCAGATAATATAAATTATTATTTTTATCCACTAGTTGATGGTTCAGTGATTGAGAGGTGTTAGATTTCACTAATAGAAAGAAGAGGATACAATTAATTGCAAGACTAAAGACGGACTACGGATTCAGAGGAATAGATGGGTCAAAGACTAAGTGAACTTTCTAATTATAAATTGGAATTTCTAGACCAAAATGGTTTATATACAAAGGGTGGTTTCGGATCTAGAATAGATGTAGTCGAGTCGAAAGCATTGATAACCATCCTGATTATAAAAAAAATTTAATAATAAAAAAACATAAATTTTTTTTTTCCGAACTCAAACCCCAACCTTCGACCAAATTCTTTTGAGGAAAAAAACAAATTGGAATGGAAGGTGAACCAAATCCCCCGCATTTCAGCCACAAAGCTCCTAACCACACGTACACATACACCTTCCACTTACCACATACTATTTATTACTCCAAACGCTATTTATTTATTATATTGCAATTGCATCAGCCAAATAAAATATTTTTAAAAAAAATAAACTCTATCCAAAAAAAAAAACCTCACCTATTTGAGAGTGTAATGATTAAATGGGTAGTTGTTGGGAAAGAAAAAGAAATACTCTTTATAGAGAGTTAAAGCCATCATTGTATGGGAGAGTAACCGAACCATATGGATAAATAAAATGTTAGAATTTATTGTTTAAGAGCCCGATTCAATGGGATCGTAATTTGGTAGTTGATTATAATTTCATTATAAACGAGATGTATTCAATGCACAAAATATTATATGCGAATATAAATAATATTTTAGAGAGGCCACATAAAATTTTACATTGTGGAATCATATCTTTGCGGTATTCCAAGATATTTTTTTTTTACCCAGTAAGTAGTGGGGAGTGGTTGAAAGGGTGTTGCTCTTGGGACCCCGTTCATCAGTTCGAATCCAGCCGTTGGGGAGGGAGGGGGTGTTTTCTCGGTTGGGAGGGTATTGTTCTCTGGGTCCCTGTCATCGGACCTCTAAAGACTGCTCCCGGGTCTGAGAGGATGTAGGTTGGGCCGAAAGCCCAGATGAACCTCTCGGTTATCAAAAAAAAAAATTTGTTTTTTTTTTAAATATATATAAATCTTCTCATTGACCAATTGTTTACCTTATAAAAAAAATAACAAGCCCATATATATTTCGAATTGAAGATGTAAAATGGTATATCAACTTAGATAACATCATCGTTTTCAAAATATATAAATGCAATCCGAAGAAATAAAAATGAAACTAAACTTGCAAGATTCGTTTAATTCGGTTTGATGGAAGTAGTTGATTTCGTACGAATTATCTAGATGACTTTTTTTTTCTTCATAATTTAATTACATAAAAGAAAATTCCCTCCTAAGTCCTAATCCCATTTTGGATTCTCTCAAATTCGATATAAACTATAGAAATATTTAGTGTAGCTTATCAATCAAGTTTTATGCTACCAAATTTGAGAGATAAACTATATATAATTAAGCAATTAATTAAACGAAACAAATCAGCAACTAAATAAAAATGTTTTTGTTTAATGAAATAGCTCTAACAAACGCCTACCATCAATCATTTATATTAGAGATTCAAAAAAAAATGGAGATTAAAAAAAAAGGGTCGAGAAATAAAATAACGAGGGAGTGGACCATTTCCACAAGGGCACGTAGGTGGTGTTCATCCCAACAACATGATAACGATATAGTTTGGTACACACATGACATTCATACTTGTACATCCTCTCTTAAGCAAGCATACATACATACATACATACATACATACAAGCATACATACATACATACATACATACATACATACATACATACATACATACATACATACATACATACATACATACATGCATACATACATACATACATACACACATACATACATACATACATACATACATACATACATACATGAATGCATGCAATGTACACAACATTCATGTGTGGAATGGTGACGGATGTAACATTCGACAAATGCACTATTGACAAGTTTATGCGGTCCCAATTATCGAGATATACATATAGGACGATAAGATTTAAACCTCTATAAAATATAACTTCGTCACACAAAAAAAAAAACGAGAAAAAGAAAAAAAAAACCTATGGTGTGAGTTCTGGGAACGTACTGTCGGGATGTGGACAAAAAATAACTCTTCAGTTTTGCGGTTACTGTCGGAGATAACGAATGAGATTATAATAAAAGCCAGTTTATTATAATTTAATTATTGGGAAAACAATGAAAATAAAGTATGAATGTTGCGGTTATAGTTGAATTTCAGGGAAAAAAATGAATATTAAAGGAGCCCACCATCCACTCCTTCAAACGTGTCCTACCAACTCTCTTCTAGAAGCAATTAGGCACACCATCTCCCCACCCTCCTCTCCCTCTCTCTCTCTTTCTCTCCCCCCTATAAGTCAACAAAGTTACAAACTATATAGAAACCCTAATATAATTTCGAGTCCCAAGAACAGCAACAAACACAGCAAGAAGAAGAGGAGGGAGAATTAGGGTTCTTGGTAAAAATGGGGAGGTCGCCTTGCTGCGAGAAAGAGCACACGAACAAAGGGGCGTGGACGAAGGAAGAAGACGAGCGTCTGATAGCCTACATCAAAGCAAACGGAGAAGGGTGTTGGCGTTCGCTGCCAAAAGCCGCCGGACTTCTCCGCTGCGGCAAGAGCTGCCGTCTCCGGTGGATAAACTACCTTCGTCCCGACCTCAAACGAGGCAACTTCACCCCCGACGAAGACAGCCTCATCATCAAATTCCATAGCCTTCTCGGCAACAAGTACCTTCCTTTCCTTCTTCTTATTCTTTTCTATCTTTTTAACAGCGAGATAGAATTCCATAGCCTTTGTTTTCGCAATTATGACACCTTTCTCTTGAAGCCATGATCTTGAATTAATGTTAATGTTCTTTATAGGTGGTCTTTGATAGCAGCGAGGTTACCGGGAAGGACAGATAACGAGATAAAAAACTATTGGAATACGCATATAAGAAGGAAGCTTTTAAGCAGAGGAATCGATCCCGCGACTCATAAGCCGATCAATGAGGTCACAACTCCGCAATCCAAGGACCAAACTGTAAAGAATATTTCTTTCGGTCCACAATTTGAGAAAAATAAAAATTTAGGGCAAAAACAAAATGGGCCAGTGTGCAAAGAAGAGAAAGTTGAGTACCCAATTGAAGGAAGATGCCCAGATTTGAATCTCGAGCTTAGGATTAGTCCACCGTTTCAAGACCACTACGGCGAAAGCCAGATGTTTGCCAGAGAGAAATCTCCCTGCTTTGCGTGCCGTTTGGGGTTGAAAAACGTCAAGGAGTGTAGCTGCGATACTGCAGCATGGCAAACAATGCTGAGCAACTCGAGCAGCAGTAGCGGCGACTCGAGCAGCAGTAGCACTGGTTATGATTTCTTGGGTTTGAACACAAGGATTTTAGATTTTAGAAACTTTGAAATGAAATTAGAAAAATAGGAAAACAATTTGTAGTAGGGAGATAATATTAAACTTCATCTCTTTTTTTTCTATATAATCTTTCTGTTTTTAATTTTTTACACTTTTTTTTAAAATGTGAAGTGTATTTCCCAATTAATCATAATAATATTTAGTTTTGATACACATGCAAGAATATTTTCTGTTTATTCTTTGCCCTTTTGACTAATTCTTTTACACAAGGGTTTAACATCTTCTAAAATGTAATTACTGTCCTAAACTCGGATTAATTTTATGATTATTCGAACTAAGTGCGAGTGGGTTTTTGTCCGAGGTGATTCGTGAAGGCATATGACATTTCAGGGAAGTGGATAAGCTTCGTGAGGAAGAGAAGTCTGAAAATGATTGAAGTGGTTGGTACCTAATTTCAATTTTGTTTTAAAAAAAATATTTAAATAAAGAACTTCTAGAAGCCTTCCATTTCATGATTTTATATATAAATACAATAGTTCGATTGAATAGCAAATTTCCACATAAAGAATCATGCAATTTCTTTTTTTTCTTTTCTTTTGTATAAGGTATTCTAAGAATCTTTCAATTTGAAAAAAAAATAAAGTGTGCAAAGTGGAATATGATTTAATTTAAAAATCGATATAATATTCATATATGCTGAAATTACGTATATATATATTCCGTATAATATGTAAATTAATTTGACAATAATAATCATCCTGACTATACATATGCATAAATTTTTATTTGTTTCGTGAATAATAATAATAGAATTGTGGGGTGAGCAGTGAGCTAGGCTATTTGCAAAAGTAGAACCAAACTGACATCCATATTTTAATATTAAATTTATTATATAAAAATATAACTATGTATGAAGGGGATATATATAATATTGAATCTACATTATGCGACAAAAAAATATATTGTAACTTTTTTTTTCATTACGCATCGTTACCTAACGCCTTTTTCAAACGTGTTAGGTGCATTTAGAAGCTTCTATTTGTTAGTCCAAATTTAATATATAGTTATTAGAGATTGACATTTATGAATTTTATTGTCGACATCACTTTTCAGACACGTTACAATTATTTTAAATAATCTGTCGTTAATTATTTTAATAAGCCTTTTTTATTTTTATTTTTTTTGGAAAAAATTAACAGCTAAAAATCTCAATTGAAACAAATAAAAAAAGGCTACAATTACATTCATAAATAATTATTTCATCTTATTTCAAACTCAACAAGAATTAATTCAATCGGTCATACATATATACACACACACACATATACATATATATATATATATACCCTAAATTTATTAGTTGGACTAGAATATATAAAATGCTATAGTTTAACTGTATGTATGCTTTCTTATCGTTGCACCAACCTTCGTGGCGTAAGATGCTTTGAATGATCACAATCAGCATCAATATTATTATTATTATTATTATTATTTTATATTGTTGTTGCGATGACGAACGTTGATTAATGATTATTGTAGTTATTGTCTTAATATTTATACAACTAAATTGCCTTGCATCTTAAGATTTTTTTTTTCAATTGCCGAAAAGATATTTTACATCACATATGAACAAAAAAATATTAAGATTTGTATACGTCAACACATAAATTTAGATAATAAACACATAACTATATAATATTAATGAAAAAACTTACATAAGTAAACGAATTTATTCAGATTAAGTACACAAATTTTAAATTTTTCAAAAAAAAATATATATATGAATTTTTTTAATTTCTAATTAAATCCATAAACTTTACAAATACTCAAAAAGAATTATCAAATTTTACAAAAAAAAAACAAAAAATAAACATCAAACAAAAGACGACGTCAAATCTCGTAAAATTTTTCTGAAAATACTCGTAAAAATCAGAAAAAAAAAAAAGAAATTTGAACACTTTTTTTAAAAAAAAAATCATATATTAATCTAGAAATTGGTAATGAATATATATAATTATATATAAAAAAAATTCCCCAAGTAAATGGATCGAAGCTTAGTTCCCCAAGATCAACAGACAACCTTAAAGGAAAGACAAAACAAAGTTACGAACTTTGTATTACACAGAGTTGCTTGGGAACAACCATCAAAATCAAATCTTTTAATGGAAAGTCTTCACCTTTTCTCCATACCCTTCACTCAGTACCATTCGTAAATGGGCATGAGAGTCTCTAGCAGTTGTTCTTGTTCAGGCCAACATTCATTGTACGGATGGGATGAGAGGGCAATGTGTTCGTCTTCAACTCTGTTTCCTTGACGTAAAACTCTGCTTTGAAGCTCCATGCCTAAGATGTTGTCATGAAAGATTCACCACCCCCACACCGCCCTTTCGAGTTTGGGTTTATGAACACAAACTCCGATCTGCAACAAAAACCAAATTATGCCCCAGGTTGTTGATAAAGATTATGGGGACAGTCCATACGCATGTATATAGTTACGTTATAATGTCCCCTAACCTGAGTTTATCATCTACGAAATCCATCTTGGTCCCGATTACATGCATTAAGGCCTTTGGTTCAACAAGTATCCTCACGCCCTTTTCCTCGACCAGCTTGTCAAACTTTCCTTTCTCATCTGTTGCAAAGCAATAATTGGAGAAGGAAAGTCACAACTAATCCGAGCAAATTAAACCAACTGCTCAAGATATGTAACCAACAGAGCCTACAGCAATGTTTCGAGCGAACAAAATGAAAATATTCGGTAATTTGTTTGAATTGCCATCATTTTCCATAAGCTGATGGGCAGATACCAATCTATTGAACAAACAAGATCAATGAAGCCACATACAGAATAGAAATGGTGATCATTCATGATGAAAAATCCACAATCATCAAGTCATGTTTGGGAACACATATTAGGTTCCAGAAATATGAAACCCTAAAGTAAAATCCAGGCACTTCAAGAGCAACTACCTGAATTATCCTCTGAGACGACAGATGAGAGATGTTCTATTATTGTTTGAGTCTAAACTATGGCTACAATATAATGCCTAAGGCTTTTCCCTTTGAAAAACATCCAAACCCAAATCCATCGCTCTTGAATACACATACATACAGACCCTGAAAAGCAAATTCCTCAGCTCACTACAAAAGATCGAAACAGCAAACTGAGAATCAGACGATACCGGATTCCATAGTTGAATAACTCTGAAATCTCCTTGTGGTAAGTTGTAACACGCACTGGGATCAATAATCCAAGACAGAACAACTTCAACCAAAGGTAGAATTTACCGCACATGCCTCAAAGGATCTATTATCCAAAAGGGAACGTGAAAATGACCCAATTTCTAGTTTTCCAACCATTTCGTATGTGCATTTTTTCTGTATTAAGTAATGGAATCTAAAAAAAATACCCAGAAAAATCTGACCACATTCAAAGAGACGACAAATGGACAGGTAAGTTTTGAAACCAAAGAGAGATCATTCATATTCAGCGCATCTTCAAAAGAATGCGCATAGAACCGAAAGAAGAAGGAACAAATTCTATTACTAGGGGAAGGAATCGACTGCTTCATTAAGAATCAAAAGGAGACCAACATGAGCAAGAGTAGAGAATCAGGTGATCATGCATGGCGGAGAATGAAAATTGGCTAAAACATAGCCCAGCAACAATGCCGATTGCAAATTTCGCATAGTCCCCAAACGACAATAAGTTTCTCTCACTCAGGTAATCAGACGAAACCCCCATTATAAACATCTCCATTGAACTTCAGTCATCCATGGACCATAGAACACCAAACTCACTTCCGCAACCAAAATTGAAACTTGGCAATAAATACATCGACCCAATTTCAGAAAAGACAAAAACTAGAACCTACCACAAAAAAATAACATCAAAAATCAAGAGAGATACGGGGGGGGTTACCGGCGTAATTGAGGGGTATAAGACAAGCCGTTGCAGCCACGAGCCTTGACGCCCAGCCGGAGAAAGGGTTTCTCCCGCCGATGCAGCAAATGCCGAACCCTAGCTGCCGCCGTCGCCTCCGTCAACGTCAAGACCTACTTCCTCGTCGACGGACCGGTCTCAACGGCGGCCCCCGCCGCCGCCAAGAATCGAGAAGCCTTCATCGAATCAGAAACCCCCAAGACTCGGAATTTCGGACATTTTCCAGGAAACAAAATCGATGGAAGTCTTCCGTTTATTAACTCAATAACCAACTTAAAGGCCCAATAGAATATGAGAATCCTTATGTATGGGCCAAGGCCCATTTTAGTTTGTGATTGATTTCTATCCCCGTCCTAGGAAGCCCACATCCGAGCGTTATATTAATTTAAAATAAAATCAGAAACCGAATAAAATTAGTTAAACTGCGATGTATGAAGGTATAAATTTTAATTTATTTATATAAATTTTGTGAGGGATTTTTTCGTCACCAAATTGCAATAGAGTTTATGATTTGATATAATAAAATAATCTATAACAAATATGTTACCGTACAATAACATATATATTTTAGTGATCAATAACATTTCTTCTAAAAAAATCCATGATTTTCTGCCTAAAATTTTTTCGACCCAAACAATAATATAGAGGATAAAATAATATTTTGTTTAGAATCCTCTGACTAAATGCAAATAAATAGCCGTTGTGGTTCATCTCGGTAAACTAAAATAATAAAGCAATGGATAAAAGTTGTATTTCGTTTTTGGTGCGGTAGAAACCACCGCCAACGGTCATGATTCATTTACCGCTGTAATAATCAACGGTGATGATATGATCATATGTTCTCGTTATGATGATCTTACCCGCAGGTTATATCATTCCCGACGCAAATTACAACGCCTACTTTTTCTTGTAAAAAAAATATATAAATTCCGAGTTACAAACGCGGAACGACAGCGTTTAAGGATCGCCTCATAAAACGACAGCGTTTTATGTGGAGGAGGGAAGCTCCGGCCGCACACAATTAACGGAGTGGGTCCCGCATGGTTTGAGTCATTGCGCTTGTGCCACGACAAAATGATATCCACAACCACAACCACCTGTCTCACTTATTAATCGTGTTTAATTCAATTCGCAATTAGGGCTTTTTAATATCAGTTTTAAATATCTTTCGGCATAAACCACTCAGTTAGGTTTTTTAAAAATTCTCTCATGAATTTGATCGAATATCTGTAAAATAACAGAGTTTTTTCGTGCGTTTACAATTTAGATTCTTTAAGATATTCCTTTTTTATTTTTTATTTCCCCAAAAAATAAAAATGGAAATAAAAAATAAAAATCATACAAGGGACGTGAGAGGAGGAGGCTTGAGCGCATGAAGATTTGAAACAAATAACTGAGTGATTAACGTTAATTAATTATTAATTAATCACCCAAAAGTATGATTATCTTTCCCTTATATCAGAGCATCCTTGTCGGTAACGAAACCGCCCACTCGCTTCACTCCTCACTCTTCTTCTTCGATGGCTTCTTTTCTCTCACCCTCCATTCCTCTTCTCTTCTTCTTCATCCTTTTCTCTTCTTCGTTCACTCCCTCTGCCACCGTCGTTCCGACAGCCAAGACGTTCATATTCCGCGTCGACGGCGGATCCAAGCCGTCCATTTTCCCCACCCACTTCCACTGGTACAGCTCAGAGTTCGCCGAAGGCCCTCGTATCCTCCATGTTTACGACACCGTCTTCCATGGCTTCTCCGCCATGGTTACGCCTGACGAGGCCCAGGTCCTCCGCAATCACCCGGCGGTCCTCGCCGTCTTCGAGGATCGCCGCCGTGAGCTTCACACGACGCGTTCCCCGCAGTTCCTAGGGCTACGGAACCAAAAGGGGCTTTGGTCGGAGTCTGATTATGGATCTGATGTCATCATTGGTGTCTTCGACACCGGAATTTGGCCGGAGCGACGGAGCTTCTCGGATCTCAACCTGGGTCCGGTCCCGAAGCGGTGGAGAGGCGTTTGCCAGAGCGGCATCAGGTTCGCACCGAAGAACTGTAATCGCAAGATTGTCGGGGCGAGATTCTTCGCCAAGGGACAGCAAGCCGCTGTGATCGGCGGAATCAACGAGACGGTGGAGTTTATGTCCCCTCGCGACGCGGACGGACATGGGACCCACACCGCCTCGACCGCCGCCGGTCGTCACTCTTTCAAGGCGAGCTTGTCCGGTTACGCCTCCGGTGTCGCGAAAGGCGTGGCTCCGAAGGCTCGCATCGCCGCGTACAAGGTCTGTTGGAAGGAGTCAGGCTGTCTAGACTCCGACATCCTCGCTGCCTTCGACGCCGCTGTCTCCGACGGTGTCGACGTCATCTCTATTTCCATCGGCGGTGGAGATGGGATCTCCTCGCCGTATTACCTCGACCCAATCGCCATCGGCTCTTACGCCGCAGCGTCGAGGGGAATCTTCATCTCCTCCTCCGCCGGGAACGACGGACCAAACGGGATGTCGGTGACGAACCTCGAGCCGTGGGTCACCACTGTCGGCGCGGGAACGATCGACCGGAACTTCCCCGCTGATGTCATACTCGGAGACGGACGCCGACTCAGTGGCGTGTCTCTCTACTCCGGCGAGCCTCTCAACGGCAAGATGTTCCCGGTGGTGTACCCGGGGAAGACGGGGATGCTGTCGGCTTCGCTTTGCATGGAGAACTCGCTCGAACCGAGGCATGTGAAGGGCAAAATCGTTATTTGTGACAGAGGGAGCAGTCCTCGTGTGGCGAAGGGTCTCGTGGTGAAGAAAGCCGGTGGAGTCGGGATGATCCTGGCCAATGGCATCTCCAATGGCGAAGGCTTGGTCGGAGACGCTCATCTTATCCCCGCATGCGCTGTCGGATCGAGGGAAGGAGACAAGATCAAAGCCTACGCTTTGAAGCATCCGAATCCTGTGGCGACAATCGATTTCAGAGGGACAGTGATCGGAATCAAACCGGCTCCGGTGGTTGCTTCATTCTCCGGCAGAGGACCAAACGGGTTAAACCCGGAGATTCTGAAACCCGACCTGATTGCTCCTGGGGTTAACATCCTCGCGGCTTGGACGGAGGCCGTGGGTCCGACAGGGTTGAACTCTGACCCTCGGAAAACAGAGTTCAACATCCTGTCGGGTACTTCCATGGCGTGTCCTCACGTGAGCGGAGCCGCGGCGCTGCTCAAATCCGCTCACCCGGACTGGAGCCCTGCCGCGGTACGATCCGCGATGATGACGACGGCGAGCCTCGTCGACAACACCAACCGCACTCTCGCCGACGAGTCCACTGGAAAATCATCGACTCCCTATGATTTCGGGTCAGGTCATCTCAATCTGGGTCGTGCATTGGACCCGGGACTCGTATACGACATAACCAACGACGACTACATCACATTCCTTTGCTCCATCGGCTACGGACCCAGGACAATTCAAGTGATCACAAGAACTCCGGTGAGATGTCCGAAGAGGAAACCCTCGCCGGAAAACCTGAATTACCCATCGATCACGGCGTTATTCCCTGTTTCGAGAAAAGGGTGGTTGACAAAGACGCTTGTCCGAACGGTGACGAACGTGGGCCAGGCCGAGGCCGTGTACCGTGCGACGGTGGAGTCTCCGAGGGGCGTGACGGTGACAGTGAGGCCGTCGAGGCTTGCGTTCAGCCAGGCCGTCAAGAAACGGAGTTATTTGGTAACGGTAACAGTGAACACACGGAACATGGTGGTGGGGGAATCGGGTGCGGTTTTCGGATCAGTGACTTGGTCCGATGGTGGGAAACACGCGGTTCGAAGCCCTGTCGTGGTCACCCAAATCGACCCTTTGCGATGAAATTTGGCTCGATCACGTCGTTTTGATCGATGATGCCGCGGTGTTTGTGCGTGCGTATATCAACACTAATGTAGCAATATTAGCCTTAGATGTTGCTACTCTTAAGTTGTTTTATTTAATTTTATCGTAATGCTTTTGTTTTTTTTCCTCCTTTTTTTGGGTAAAATCTTATCTCCCCTGCCTTTTGAACGCATATATATTTATATGTATGTATGTATGTATACGCATGTGAGATATGCTCATTGGTGGGAGTAAAGATGTGACAGCAGAAACCCTTATTGTATATGTATATCATCTTTAATAATTTAAGATCTTGCTTTAAGCTTACATCACATTTGGATCACGATGATCATAATTCGTTGAATGTGCAAACCGAAAAGAAACAAAAACAGTTGAAAACCCAAAACGAAAGGGGATTACTTTTCAAAAAATCGGTTGGTGGGTCGATGTGCTTTGAGTATAAAGACAAAAAATTTAATAAATCCGTATTGACCCATGTGTAGAAAAACCATAATAATTTCGTGACACGGGGTTATGCTAACCATGCTTTATAATCATAGTCTATCTTTGTCCAAACCTTGTAAAAGGACAAAGAGGATGATTTGATTCGGGTTATATCTTCAACCGTTACACTCACCTTGTTATATCCATCACATTACTCGCACATAATACAAAAAAGAGGCCCTACTAATTCAATTTGGAGCGTCCTTTCCGACAATTTTTAGTCTTGTGGCATCATCCAATGAAATTATTGTCTCAACCCGGTCCGGGTCCCCTCGACCGTGATCGGGTAGATATGGACAGCGTCGGTATAAACCAAATCAAATCAAACCAAACCAAACTATAATAACTTTTGCAGTTATGCCAGTTAATCATTCAATTGAAATGGTTAGTAATCAATGTGGTTATAGTCATTTAGATTGTGTGACCATGAGTAGGGGGGGAATTGATACAAGTGCACACATATTTGGAGGTGGACCTAATTTTGTAACTCCCCCATAACCGGTTTGACTCTCATTGCATAAAAAATCTGCATGCCAATTTCAACGCCCAACCAACCATATGATCTTTTTTTTTTATCATGTCATTTTTGTCATTCGTATAAAAAAATAAAGTAAATGAAATAAAAAGGTAATATAGTATAGTTGTCACCCCTTTTTTCTCATGAGATATTGATGACCCATCTTTAGTTTTTTTTAGCATTTATTATTTTTCCCATGCCATGGTTTTCAAAGTTTAGATAGTTTTGAAAATTGTAGAGAATCAAAAAGTTTAAAGAGTTAGAAGCTACGACATTAATAGATAATTAATTTGGAGAGTTAAGGAATGTTTGATGGATTGAAGAGTGGATACATTTGAATTTAAAAATAGAGAATAAAATGGTATATTAGATTTTAATTAAAAAAGATTGAAACAATCCAAAACAAAGGTGAGACCAATAAATTCCATATGAAGTTGGGGGGGTGGGTCTTAACTGACCACTTAAATTCCAAACCTGCGTTTGTTAAAATCCAACGCTCAAGATCGCTCTCTCTCTCTCTCTCTCTCTATATATATATATATATATATCAAAGTCATAAATTTGAGAATTTATTTCTGTAAGTAATTATTATAATCAAATACTCTAGTAACTTTTAAAGCTAGGAATACATACATGTATATATATATATATATATATACATTGAGAAGATATACTCGACAATTGAAAAATGGAAGTATTATTATTTTGGAATGCAGTGCGCACGAAATGCAATGTTTCTTCAATGTCTTTATTTCCTAAATGCCGCATGAAACGGCGTCGTAGGATGGAGCCTCCGTCAATAACGGAGGGTCTGATCATTTCGAAAAAAGTTTGTGGGACCCATTCATGGACCCCACGTGCGTTGAAAGAAGAAAATTAATTTTGTTAAATAAAAAAAAAGAATAACAAAGGATGGGCTTGATGGAAAACTGAAGATGGGCTTTAGACCAGGGCCCATATATGCTCAGTGTAACATTGATCCTAATCCCTTGGGCCTTTTCCGCCGCCGTCGAACATATGACGGTATATTCGAATCGAAAAACTAGATGTGTGTTGAACATAAAATAATTGAAGATGAATTTTTATTTTAAAAAATATTTTTTCCATAAAAATTAAATACGAATATAAACCGAACTCAATCGAATTCGAATGAGTATAGTTATTTAATCTGAAAATGAACACTTGAAAAATAACCGAAACCAAATCCAAACCAATCCATCTAACTTTATCAAGGAGTTCAACTTCAAATGCCATAATTTTACTTTCACCGAAAGTAAAATCCAATGGTAATAATGAGTTAGTATAATCATCCCTTAATCCCGCTATTTAATTTTAGTCCCAACACTGTTTTTTTAGATGATAAATTAATAATTCGTTAGGTTGGGTATAATTGACTAATCAATTCCCGTATTATACATATCATTGATGAATGTTAAGAATGAGTGTTTCAACTACCGATTTTGATTGAAATCACGACAAGAAATAATATATTCCATGATGTTTCTAAACTAACATTGGACCTTTTTATAGTTTTATTGTTTACGTGACATTCTTGCCAAAGTTAACTTGTAAGAATTCTTTTCAGCGAGATATAAAATATGTTATAAATTAGCATATATTTTCTCATTATATATATATATATATATATAATTACATCGTATTTTTATTTTGGTTATTCAATTGATAACTTTTAGCCTATTTCTATTCGAATCCAATTTAGGGGTGGAAACTATAATGTTATTCTTGTTTTTTTTATGAGGTTAAATATGCACATGATTGCATGGGCGGATTGGTTATAGAAACTGCCAAATAAGATGCGACTTAAATATATCCAATTGAAATCCGCCTGAGCAAAAATAATGAAAGAAGAAATACTTTCTTGGAAATTTAAAATAATAAGAGTTTCGATATATGAATAATTAAAATTAGGGGGCGACCACTGATGAGTGGCGACCACCGTAATATTGTCCTAAATGTTAAAGAATTATATTATTTTTTTTTACATTTTTGTGACATAACTACGGATGCACGAAACTTGAAACAAAAAATTAGATTTTATAAATGATGTAAAAAAATAATAAAGTAAAATTAAAATTATCCGAGCCCAGCCATAAAATTTAGACCTATGATTTACTTAGCCGCAACTTAAACTTTAAAACTATAAAATTTAACATCAGGAGACAAAAACACCCAACAGAAAAACACACACACATTGGAGTAACGCATAGCAATAATTAACTAAAGAGGTTGGGCGTTATTCTCTTTAACACAAAAATTAACATTAATTTCAGGAATAATTCGGAATTAATGTTAATTAATTAATTAAGGGGAGGATTTAAATTCGTATTTATTTAGCTCGGTCTTGGATGAGGTCGAATCCCATCTCGGTGGGGTCAGTGGCTTGAAGCTCGTAATGAATGCCTTCCAACACTCTCCTCAGCCCTCCCTTCAACGTCGCGTACACCATCTTCTCCCTTGTCCTCGACCCCGTCGGCGCCCTGCACCCCAACAATCACTCACTCTTATATATACGCATGCATGGCATATACATACACATATACATACACGTTGATCGATGGAATATGTGTGTGTACCAGGCGATGAAGAAGATCTTGCTCTTGCGGCAGTTATCGACGGTGACGAAGTCGAAGTCGAAGACGGCGTAACGGCAGTCGTCGACGGGAAGGGAGGCGGCGAGGTCGTGGTAGCTCTCGCCGGAGCCGCCGACCTTGTCGACGGTGACGAGGCCTGACTTGTCGTCGATCTTGAACACGATGTACCTGTGCACCTTCTTCCACTTCATCTCCATAAACGAGCTCTTGCACTCCTCCGTCACCCACTTCCCCTTCGTCGCCTATACCATCACCATCACCATCACCATCATCATCATCGGTTACATATACACACACTCGTACACATATATACAAAAAAATATGTGAAAACTTGTTTTTTTTTACCATCCTTAAAGCCATAGCCATTGATTCTCTTCTTCTTCTTTCTTCTTCTTCTTCTTCTTTGGTGTGATGCCTAATTGTTCGTTTGCGGTGGTATATGGAGTTTTTGGGGATCTTCTTTATATAAAGCTGTGCTTATACAAACGCCATCGGTGTTCTACTTTATTACGGTATTGCCCCCACCCAACGGCTGGCACATAGATTGGGCTTTTGTTTATTATGGAATATTTTGTTACTCCATTAAATTTCCAAACGAAACCCAGATTAATTTCCGCAATTAACAAATAATGGTACGAATTTGGACCTTATTATAAGGAATTTAAGGGTTTTAAATCATTTATTCTTTGGGTAAGATTTTTTGCATCACATCTCTTATAGAATATGTCATATATATCTTACATGACATTGTTACTCTACTGTGTTACAATTTACCTGAAAAGATTAAATGGTCATATTATACTAAATTGAGTATCCCACTAAAAAAATCCAGAAAAAGCAATTCGGTTAGAAATATCAAATTGAAATTGAAATGAATCAAATATATAAATATTTCTGAATCGAAGCCTATTAAAAAACAATTATATATAATTTCTTTGAAGCCAAATTAATTCATGAGTACCTATATAAAAAAAAGGAAAATTAAAATAAGTTTTTGTTTAACAAAATCAAATCTTACAAATTTTTTTTTATAAAAAAACTAATACATAAATAAAAAAAGTTATACCTTTTTAATAATAAAAAATCTAATATTAAAACAACTGGAAAATCCCAATAAAAACCCTGTACTTTTTGTTCGTTAAAATTTAAATCCTATACTTTTTTTATCCAAAAAAATATTGTATTTTTAAAAATTGTCAAATAAAATCATGTACTTTTAAAAATTGGCAAATAAAATACTGAACGAAAAAAAAATATTATTTAATACTGATATGATATCCTAGTCCCCTGCCACATCATCAACTGCTAATATTTATAATATAAATTAATAAAAAATAAAAAAATATTAATAAAAATAAAAATATAAAAATTATACACATACATATATAATGAAATGATATACATATATACACATATATAACATATATATATATACACATATATATACATATAATACATACATATATATATGTATATATAAATACGTTTTATATGTATGTGTGATATATGTATTTTTTTTCTAAAAATCATACATATATCACATATATCACACATATATATGATTTTTAGGAAAACATACATATATCACATATACATATAAAACATATATATATATATATGTATTATATATATGTATATATAAATATGTTTTATATGTATATGTGATATATGATTTTTTAAAAAAAATCATATATATATATAATGATTTTTAGGAAAAAATACATATATAACGCATACATATAAAACATATATAGATATGTATGTATTATACGTATATATATATATATATGTGTATAATTTTTAAATTTTTATAAATATATTTATATATGTGTATAATTTTTTAAATATGTTCAAATATGTATAAATATGTTTATATATGTGTATAATTTTTATGAATGTGTATAATTTTTAAAATTTTATTTTTATTAATATTATTTTTTATTTTTTTATTAATTAATATGATTAAATATTAGGAGTTGATGATGTGACATGTGACTATGATGCCATGTCAGTATGAAATAGTATTTTTTTCGTTCAGAGTTTTATTTACTAATTTTTAAAAGTATAGAGTTTTATTTGTCAATTTTTGAAAGTACAATATTTTTTTATAAAAAAAAGTATTGGGTTTAAATTACGACAAAAAAAAATACAGGGTTTTTATTGGGATTTTTCCAAAACAACTCAATTAGTGTTCATGGGTGGTAAAATGATAAGATGAAAGTATAAAGTATTTTTTCAACCACCCGAATTCGAATCCTTTTTTGGATTAACCATTACTAAAAAAAATGTTTTTACCTTTTTCGATTTGGAACCAAAAATTTGATAAGAGAACATATACTCTAAATCACATGATTGATCCACAAATTTGAGATTAGTCTTAACTTTGGTTTAGGATATCCTATTAGTAAAAAAACTCAATTATTAATTTCACTATTAAAACGGCAAATAAAGGGTTCGGGAAGGAGATTACGTTAATTAAAAAAAATCAAAAATAAAATAAACTTTACACGTAATTAAGGCTCGTTAATTACAATTAGTTAGATAATATAATAGATTTGATTGACGCGACGAATCGAGAGAGAGAGAGAGAGGGTGGTCCCAAATCTTTGGACTCCATCTCCATAGATCTCTGTGACCCCCCTAACTCTGCTACTCAAAAACTCACATTAGCCTTTACGTGGAAGTTAAATAAGTGAATTAAAAAAAACATTTTTTATTTTATTTTATTTCACTTATGACCCCTATTTTCATCGAAATTACAAATGGGGGAATAAAATATGAAAGTTTCATGTGAAAGTACCATTTTTTTTTGGTAGGATTGTATATTTTTCAAATATTATAGTCTCGAATTTTATATGAAAGAAGATGATTTCAATGGAAGAATTTTTAGATTAATTTTATAAATAGGAATAATGTGCGGATTCGTTGAATTCTGTTAATATGGATTCACAGAACCTAAAACTAATAGATTTTGTGGAAGCTACAAATATTCCGAGATCTTCCAGTTCCAAAGCCTCGAGTCTTCCCATGAGATTGTCCAATGCATGTATGCTACAAGTTCAGCAACATCATATCAAATTATATCACCACATATAATAAATGCATATATATATATATATGTATATATTGCATATATGTGTGTATGTATATATGAGGTATACCGCTATATAATATTGTGGGTAATCAAAGACCATAAATGAAAAAAAAAGAGAGGAACAAAAGTCTAAGCAGAAGAGCCCAAACACTAGAAATCTAACAAAGAGAGAGGAATATGGGGGCATGATCTCCAACTTTTTTCATATAAATATTTCTGATAAATATTGAATTTAAATGGATATAATTTTTCGAAGAAAACCCCAATTTAAAACTTACCAAAACAAAATATAACGAAAATTCAAAAGGCTCACACACAATGTTTTGAATGCAAAAATATGATTGTTGTATGAGAAAACTATATTGGATGTTTTTTTTAAAAAAAATAAGAATGTGATACATATAATGTCAATGTCTAAATGATGAATAATTGTTATTGATTGATTATTGGTGTGATGTGAAGTGGATTCTAGTCATGGAAACAAAGACGAGGAGGTTAATGACAAAGGGAGCATAGCCATGTTTTCTCAAGGTGGGAAGATGGAACCTTGTGGTTATGGCATTAGCCAAATCATATGGGTTTGGTTTTATAATTAATTTTATTTTTCTGCTAATTTTTTTATATATGTATTTGTTATTTGGAAGGATTGGATCCATTTCTGGTGGCTTGTCTTCTTTGATGTTCTTCCATTATTCAACCTCTTTTTTTAAGACATTGTTGAAAGATTTTTGTGTCCCCTTATGATTTGGATTTATCTATTTTCATGAGACCCATTTATTATTCCATCTTCTAATAATAGAATCTCTTCCTAGAAACTGAATATAAAAATTGAGACAGATCGATCTGTAAGCCATAAAAAAAAATAGTTGATTATGACTAAAACATTATATTTGACATTATTTTTCGTATTTAATCTTTTACATAAAAATAAAATAAAATAAAATTTCTCTGCCATGGGCGTGTGAAAGACTCCAATTGTAACAGAGGCTTCGAAAGGACAAGGAAGTTCATTTGACCATAACAGAGTTCAGTCAAGCGGTCTCAGGGTGATTTTGGTAATTTGAACAAAACAGAGCACTTCTGTCTTGAGGTTCTCCGCCATTGGAGCTCAGATCGATTCTTCAGATCATGGATTCGGGCCGAGATGTACGGAAACTAGACAATGAAGATGATACAAAAACATTGAACACAAATTCGAGAAGGTGAAACAATAAGTTAGTATTTCATAACTAGATTCATAAGCATTGTTCGTTAGTATTATTACAACAACGCCTATACACCATTGTGAACAATGTGTCTATGAACTCCCAAGCAAACATCTATATATGTATATACAAATTCATCGGCACGGAAACGAGGAGAAACAAAAAAAAAAAAAGGTTCTCACGAGGGAGAAGCTGAAGCTTTTTGGTTGATGTCAATGGAATCCTCTTGAACCTCTAGACTGGTAAAGCTCCAACCTTGTCTTGGCTTCCGGCAAAATCCCTTCGATGGTCGGCTCTTCCGCGAGATGGGCTTGTTTCGTCGACCACTCTAGGACAATCAGAACTTCTTCTTGAGCCAGAGTCTCACTGTCCGGTACATTCAATGATATGTAGCATAGCAGTGTCAATGCCGGGATTTGAACCATTTGTTCTCCAAAGTACACTAGTTGGATCAAATGCTTGGCTCCTCCCGCTGCAATGATCGCCTTCGAATGGTTGTCGTGCAGGAAATTCTCGGGGCAGGCGAATTTGTTCAGTGCCACAGCTGCTTCCATCGAAACCTCCGCTTCTCGTTCGTCTAGAAGCTTCACGAGTGGCGTGACTATCCTGGTTTCGGTTGCACGGAATGTTCTCGAAAGGTTTCCCATTGATTTGACACTCGGGATTAGAAGGTCGGGGATTTCGTTCTCGATCACTTTTAGGAGCTGTTCCACCACTGCTTTTGCAGCAGGGGATGTCGGCTTGAAGGCGGAACGTCTCAGTTCCGGGTATTGCTCTGCCACTGCAGTGATCTCCATCAATGCCAATGCTGAATATGACTTCACTTCTTCGTCCCCTTTCTCTAACAGAACGGCGAAACAGAGCAATGCCCGGGATTCAGTTATGTTCCTGCATATCTGGATATTCCCTCTCGAAAGCTGCCATAACGCTCGTGCAGCCATCGCCTTCATCTGGGCCTTTATGATCGGATCTTCATATTCCCTTCCTTTTATACTCGTCCCGGTTAACGAAACATGTGTGTTGTGAGGGTTCCCTCTTGGATTATGACCCGGATGGCTGGTGTGAGCACCCTTGCCATGGCTTGGATTAGGGTTCATTCTTATATCTTGATGCTGCTGCTTGCTTGGAACCTTCATGGCCATTGTGTTTGTTACCACATTATGCATCTGGCTCGGCATTCGATGGCCCATTGGGTGACTGATTTGGCTACTCGTCTGGTCTTGCTCGTTCTCCTTCTTTACCGAACCAGGATTGCTGTTGTTGCTAGCCATGACAACAGTGTGGATCGACGACATGGTTTGCTTGTTGCTCACGATGGCATATTTGCTATGTTCTTGAACTGTCTCGAATGCGAGATGGCTCACGAGGAAGCGTATAATGTTGTTCTGCGCGAAATGATCTTGGCATTTCGGGTGGTTCGAGGCTAGTTCGGACACGGCCCACGCCACCACGGACTGTACCTTCATGTGACCTTCCTTGAGAATTTTCGCAAACACTTGGCAGACACCGGCGTTCACGATCTGTTCCACACTCTCCGGGTCGCGACCCAACAACCCAATGGCTCGAGCCGCGTTCTCTTGCCCTTCCATCTTCCCTTCCTTAGCGAGCTTCAACAATGGCGGGACTCCTCCCTCCTCGATTATCAATCTCCCGTACCGGTCATTGTCTCGGGCCAAAGAAACGAGCGACGCGGCCGCGTCGGATCGCTCATCCATGGAGCCTTTGTAGAGGATCGCTACCTGTTCCCAGATCAAACACAAGATGGGTTCGTTGGCCGCGATCGGAGGGAGACCGAGGTACTCGTCGTCGCGGTCGTCGGCGGAGGCGGAGACGCGGAGGAGCCAGGACACGTCGCCGATGGAGTTCTCGAGCTGCATCGTGATCTTGCGGAACGCAGCCGCGGGGATGATGGTGAAGACACGCTTCATGAGGCCCGTTGCTCGGCACTTATCGACGAGAGCCACGGCTTTGGTGAGGACCTGCTCGGTGTCGTCGATGATTCGGCGCGTGGGTCGCTCGTAGAGGTCATTGCTCGCACGCGCCGCCTGTCGGAGGAGACCGGCGAGCTTCTCCGTCTTCGCCTTCACCTCGAGACATTCCTGCCGGAACGAGTAGGCGTCGTCCGCGGCTTTCGTCACTTGATCCGCTAGCTGGATCGGTCGAACTAAGATCTGTTTCACGATGTCCGCCATTGATTTTGCCGAACTCCTCAAGAAAACAGTGCGAGATCAAAAGAGAGGCAGAGAATTTGATCTCTGTTCGTGGTCGTACGTGTTGTGTCGTGTCAATCGCTTCCTAGATTCTTGTTTCTGGGTGATGTTGCAAATGGGGCGGCAAGTCCATTCACGTCGGAGATGACGGCGGCGGGGGTGGAGAGTGCGCCGGAGACGGTGGTGGAGAGAGAGAGAGAAAGGGAAGGTCGGACGTTAATTTCTCCAAACTCTCAGGTCGGAAGGAAAAACTCCGAAATTGCCGTTTTCCGAAAGCATTGGTTTATTATAGTTATGGGAATGTGAATCGGTTACTGTATTAGTGTATTGTCGTCGTCATCCTCGTCATGTCAACATCATATTATTATTATTAATCGTATTTATTATATGATAACTAGGAGAGACCCGCGCGATGCGCGGGGTATTTGTCTGTTTGTTTTAAAAAATTATATGAAAAAAATTAATATAAAATTATATTAGAGTTTTTTTATATAAATTTAAATTAATTTTTTAAAAAAAATATCAGCTCGTTGAGCAGTTCGCCAGTTCGCCGAGCCAGACTCAATGAACACGTGTTCAATAAGATCTACCTCGTTAAGCTCGTTTTTTCATGAGCTGAAAAAATTACGGCTCAGATCGCTCGTTTTATGGCGAGCCAGAGCCAGCTCGCGAGCTGTGCTCGTTTTGACACCCCTACTAAACAGCCGTCTTTCGCCCTTCATAATTCAAACACGTGCTCAAAATAGAAAGGACCATAACCCGTGTCTGATTAGTGTTCCAGTTGGCAAATGCCACGTCAGCATCCTCACACACATCCATCATATATATACACACTCTTCACTCCCACACTCGCTGGGACCAAACTCACCATAAATTGTCTTTCTCTGGAAAAAAAAAAAACGGAGGCAGAATACAAAAGGAAAAGAGGAAAACAGAGCTCGGCATGCAATATCCCGACAATAGATCCGAATTCGCCGGAGCTCAACACATATATCCGACCTGGATCCGGTATCCAGTTCCCGATCAATGGCCCAGACAGGAGCAAGAGCTGTCCGCCATCGTCTCCACCCTGAAACACGTCATCTCCGGCGACGAAACGGCGCCGTTCCCCTGTTTCTCAGACCAGAGCACTGTGATCGGCGCAGGGATGCCTCGGTCGGATACCGACACGTGTCAGGTCTGTAAGATCGACGGCTGTCTGGGCTGCAACTACTTCTTCCCTCCAAACCAACGGATCGAAGAGCGAGAAGGAGGAAAACAGAGTGCAGGGGCGAAGAGGACGACACAAGCGGAGAACGGGAAGATAAGGAAGAGGAGGAGCAAGAAGAACGGATACAGGGGAGTGAGGCAGAGGCCGTGGGGCAAGTTCGCGGCCGAGATCAGGGACCCCAAGAGAGCGACACGTGTCTGGCTGGGGACGTTCGAGACGGCAGAGGCGGCAGCTCGGGCTTACGATCTGATGTCCGTCGAATTTCGATGAGAAAACATGGATTATGAATAGGTTTTAATAAAGTTTTAAATTTTTTACATATTAATATTAATTTTTTTTCCACACGATGTGTGCGTATTATTATCTATTTACAGAGTTTTACAACTCTTATTCAATCATATGATAGGTTCGGATCTAATAATTATACCGAAAACTAATAAAAATAACGACGGAATACATTTCAGCTACTGCTGCAGGGGACACCATTGAAGATCTGTTTCAATGATTGATGATGGATGGTTCTTTATTGTACTCTCTTTTCTTGTCGGCGTTTTTTCAGCTGAGGGCGAGAGAGAGAGAGAGAGTGAGTCGTTGTCCAACTCAAGCAAGTTTTCTAGATCCTGGGACCTTTTAGCAGTTATGTTGTCCGTTACTGTACAGTTGTACCAGAAGAGGAAAAGGATATAAAGTTTTAACCGAATATTTTATTGAATATAAAAAGGGTGAAAAAAAAAACATGTCTGAATCTAACCGCTTTTAGGCACATAACGAATACACACGCGGGAAATAAATGATCAACGCGAAAAAATGTTGGTTATCTTTTCCAAATTTACGCACGTGTTCCAGTGTTTCTTTTATCCCTTGTAACTACTATTTTATACTGCCCGCACACACATATATATAGATACACTTTTTCTTTTGAAATGAATATATGAACACTATTATCTTCTTTTGAAATACGTTATATCGTAATTTGAACATTTAGATGGATCCCTTTATTTAAGATTTATGTTTTCCGAATTTGAAGTACAAAATAAGACTAATTAGTAATTATATGACATTAAATCATGAATGTAGGATTATATTGAATACTATATGAAAAACCAAATAGGTATATTTTCTAAACCGAAATAATAAAATTTAACTGAAATCGAAAATATTTATATTTGTTGATTTTTGTTTGTCTATATATTGAACCAAAATATCAAAGAGGAAAAAAGGTGAAAACAATTCCCACCAATTCTTTAAAGTTGAAAAAAGAATCCCAGAGAGATGGCTTTGTTCACCAATGATTATCTTTAATTTTTATCATTATTAAAGAGAATGTGTAAAATAAATTACACGTGAGTGTAATGTCAAGGAGAATATAATAATGACAATACTAAAAGATATAAGATACAATAATAAACAAAACCCATTACCCTACAAATAAAACTATTATTAAAATAATAAATAATAATAATGATATTATATATATATATATATATATATATATATATATATA